TTGTGGACATTTAAGGAGTGAACCAGCAGATGGAAGACCTTTCTCTCTCTCTCCCTCTCTCTGTAACTCCATCTCTCAAATAAATAAATCTAGAAGAACAAAAAATGAAATCAACATATGAAAGAGTGATTTGTACTCCCATGTTTATTGCAGCTCAATTCACAATAGCTAAGATACAGAATCAACCCAGATGGCCATCAACTGAAGACTGGATAAAGAAATTATGGCATATTTATACTATGAAATACTACACAGCGATAAAAAAAAAAATAAAATGCTGTCGTTTGCAACAAAATGGATGCAACTGGAAATCATTATACTTAGTGTAATAAACCAGTCCCAAAATGACAAGTACCATACATTCTCCCAGAGCTGTGGTGACTAATAGAGTACCTAAAAGGTAATCTGTAGAAGTGAAATTGACACTTTGAGATGCCATGATTTTGAACAGTCCTTGACTCAACTGTTGAGGAACAGTAGTTTGCTTTTTTTTTTTAATCTTCACACTATTTTTTGAACTCTTTACTTCGTGTATGGTTAATCTGATGAGTATAAAGTTAACCGAAAACAGATCTTTGTAAAAAAAAATAAGAATGGGAATAGGAGAGGGAAGAAGAGGAAGGTTGGGTGTGCAGATAGGAGGGAGAAAAGGGTGGGAAGAATCACTATATTCCTAAATTTGTATATATATGGGACACATAAAGATTGTATGCCTTAAATAAAATTTAAAAAAGAAGTAGAGTGGGGACTTGAACCCAAACACTCTGATTTGGGATTCAGGTATTCCAAGCAGTATCTTGTCTTAACCACTAGGCTGAACGCCAACCCCCCTTCTTTTCATTCCTGATCAAACCAGCTCCTCAGAACCGTTTCTTTGCTAGCACCTAGGGCAAGTCCCTTTACATTTTTAGTAATCTCAGTTCACAAAAAGTCTCTTTTAGCCACAAAGTAGTCTCACTTCAATAATAAAATGCCCAGTCCAGCATGTTGGTCAAAATTCTAAACTTCATCACAGTGGATGATTCCTCTTCACCACGTACCCACCCAACCTGTTTGAGCTGGTGGCCTCTTCATTCTTTCAGCTGACCTTTGGCCAACCAGGGGTGGAGGGGCCAAGGAAGGAAGAGAGATAAGGGAGAGGAAAGCTGGTGTTTGACAAGTACAGATGTTATCCACATTTTTAGGCCGTGGCTGGAGCACGTATTTAAAGTTAGCTGGCTCTCGGGCTTGTTTTTATGAGCACCATCCACATTCCTCCCTGGGTTCCTCTGACTACAGCTCCACAGTGTAGGCAAAGCCTCAGCCTCAGTGGTTACTTGCATATCCCCCACCTCCCAGCCCTGCCTTCAGCTTCTGGATCTGAGGGCACCGGTCCCGCCGATTTCTGCTGCGGATGTGCAGCACAGGCAGCCAGGCTCTCAAGCGTGATCCTTTTCAAAATGCCCTCAGATAGACATTCCTGCCAAGGATTCCTTATCTGCCAGCTGCCACTGAAGGTATTATGGTTACTTTCAAACTGTGTTTCCCTGTTCTGATAAATGATTTTCCAAGGTTTCTTCATGGAATCCAGAAGACACAAATCATATTCACCATATGGCCTCCATTAAGCCTCCCTCAACAGACCTGAGGTGAGAGAAATGCACGTGTTTCACCAGTCTCCCAGAGTTTTAAGGAAGACTCACAAAGCATTGAGGACTCTTTCCATGGGATTCTTCAATCTCAACGGCTCTTCATCATCTTCAATTTTAGCACGTATAGTATATAGCCTTAAGACAGGTAAGACAGGAAGGTCCACAGAACTGGTTTTAGTACCTCTTTTGTAATTCTGCCATAGGTGATCTGACTCAAACAGGTCACTTTGGAATTTAAGAGTAATTGGACCCTCAGCTGAAAGTGAGTCAGAAAGAACATCTGAACATTCTAGTCTGCACTGTATGTCTTGCCATTCCTACTGGGTCTCAATACTGTTTCAAATGTTCTAAGGAGTGCTGTGTGATGTGGCACTAGCCTACTTGTCCAGGCTTCTCTTATGCCACTTTTCAGCCACATTGGTCCTCTTGCAGATCCCTGGATTCCCTAAGCTCTTTCCTACCTCAGAACCTTTATATGTGTCTAGAACATTCTTTCTCTCACCATTCTTTGCCTTCTCATTTATGAGGTCTCCATTTAAATATTACCTGAAATAACTCCTTACCTCCACCCCATTATTTTCACTCTTACAGACTATTTTACTTTATAGCCTTTAATACCACTTATAACTGTATAATTGTGTGCTTACTGGCTTATGGCCATATGGCCAAAGACTGGTTCACCATTTACCAAATCACTCCCATTTTCCTCATGGGCACACAGCCTCCCTTGTAGTTATATACAGCTGTGTGACTTTTCTAGCCCACAGAAGGTAGGCAGAAAAAAGACCACTTCCAGCCCTGGTGTGTAAAATACTGCCACACGGGACCCTCTGTTCTCTTTTGCCAATCAACAACTTCATAGAGCAGATTCTAAGAACCCAAAGGAACACAGAATCATGGAAAAAAAGTGATCTAAGTTAATGCTTAGAGGAGACATGAATGTTATGGCATAAGCAATAGCCTCTTCAGATTATTGCCTGAGAAAAAACAAACTTTTATTGGGTTAAGCCATCAAAATTTCTCTTATAGAACTATTCCAGTTAGCATATTTAAGAAACAGTGATAGAATACTGTGCAGGGTTGTGACACAACAGGTAGAGCTACCACTTAGGATTCCCACATCCCAAATCAGAGTGCCTAAGTTTGACTCCCACCTTCACTCTGATCCCACTTCCTGCTAATGTGCAGCCTGGAAGGCAGCAGGTGATAGCTAAGTGTTTAGGCTTCTGCCCACCACGCAGAAAACCAGATGACGTTCCAGTCTCCTGGCTTTGAACTGGCCCAGTCCTGGCTATTTCAGGCATCTGGGGAATGAACCAGCAGATAGATGATCTCCTTCTCCCTCTCTACCATTGTGCCTTTCAAATAAATAAACTTAAAAAGAATACTAGAATTAGATTGCCACTATTTTAAGCCCTAATACAGCACACTCATTCCTGCCTCAGAGCCTTTGAACATGCTATGCCGTTGTCTGGAACACTCTTCTCCCACATCTACTCATGGCTTTGTCCTTCATAGCCATCACAAGGCTTCCTAACACTGAATGTTCCTATTTTGATAGGTGCTACTTATCAAAAGTAGCACCTTGGGGACAGTGCTGTGGCGTAGCAGGTAAAGCCGCCGCCTGCAGTGCCAGCATCCTATATGGGTGCCAGTTCGAGACCCAGCTACTCCACTTATGATCCAGCTCTCTACTGTGGCCTGGGAAAGCAGCAGAAGATGGCTTAAGGCCTTGGGCCCCTGCACCCACGTGGGAAGCCTGGGAGGAAGCTCCTGGCTCCTGCTTCGGATCAGCACAGCTCTGGCCATTGCAACCAACTGGGGTGAACTAGCAGATGGGAGACCATTCTCTCTCTCTCTGGTGTGCTCGCGCTCTCTCTCTCTCTGCCTCTCCTTCTCTCTGTGTGTAACTCTGATTTTAAAATAAATAAATAAATATTTTTTAAAAAGTAATACCTTGCCTCTTCCCACGGCCCCCACCCACATGAGATATCACTCTCACTCTATTTTACTTTTCATTGTTGCACTTAATCACTACTTGATATTACATATTTGTTTGTTTAAAGCCTGTCTGAAGGCCAGTGTTGCGACTCTGGGCTAAGCTGCAGTTAACAATGCTCATTCAAGTCCCCGCTGTTCCACTTTTGATCCAGTTCCCTGCTAATGTGCCGAGGAAGGTAGCAGAAGATGCCATTCACGTGGGAGACCAGGACTCCTGGCTTCTGGCTTCAGCCAGTCCCAGTCTTAACTGTTGGAACCATTTGGGTGGTGAACCATGAATGAAATCAATTATCGCCTGCGCCATGGCTCAATAGGCTAATCCTCCGCCTTGCAGCGCCGGCACACGGGGTTCTAGTCCCAGTCGGGGCGCCGCATTCTGTCCTGGTTGCCCCTCTTCCAGGCCAGCTCTCTGCTATGGCCCAGGAGTGCAGTGGAGGAAGGATGGCCCAAGTGCTTGGGCCCTGCACCTGCATGGGAGACCAGGAGAAGCACCTGGCTCCTGGCTTCGGATCAGTGCAGTGCACCGGCCGCAGTGCGCCGGCCGCGGCAGCCATTGGAGGGTGAACCAACAGCAAAGGAAGACCTTTCTCTCTGTCTCTCTCTCTCACTGTCCACTCTGCCTGTCAAAAAAAAAAAAAAAAAAAGAATAAAAAAGAAATCAGTTATCTCTGTCTTCTCTTCCTCTCTCTCTTTTGCTCTGCCTTTCAATTAAATGATTATTAAAATAATAATAAATAACACCAATAGGGCCGGCGCCGCAGCTCAATAGGCTAATCCTCCGCCTAGCGGTGCCGGCACACCGGGTTCTAGTCCCGGTTGGGGCGCCGGATTCTGTCCCGGTTGCCCCTCTTCCAGGCCAGCTCTCTGCTGTGGCCAGGGAGTGCAGTGGAGGATGGCCCAAGTGCTTGGGCCCTGCACCCCATGGGAGACCAGGAAAAGCACCTGGCTCCTGCCATCGGATCAGCGCGGTGTGCTGGCCGCAGCGCGCTGGCCGCGGCGGCCATTGGAGAGTGAACCAATGGCAAAGGAAGACCTTTCTCTCTGTCTCTCTCTCTCACTGTCCACTCTGCCTGTCAAAAAAAAAACAAAAACAAAAAAAAACAAAAAAAAAAAAAAAACCACCAATAGAGCTTTTCTCACCTACCAGAAAAAGCTCCATGAGTACAGGAATTTTGTTTACCTTGTTCATTGCTATTTGTTCAGTGCATTGAAGAGTGACTTCCAATGAATGGGAACTCAATATGTATTTGTTAAACACATGGATTAATAAATTCTAAATAAGTGAACATAAAGCCTTCCAAGTTTCACTCAGTTACAGTTGTGAACTTCATTTAGGAAACTCTTAAGTACAGGGATTCTGTCACTTACTGATTGGATAATCTTGGAAGAATTGTTTCATCTCCTTGTGCCTCAGTTCTTCATCTGTAAAATGGAAGAATAATGTCATCTATTCATAGAGTATGAGGTTTATGTGAATACATCAAGAGCTTAGGCTAGAGCAATACCTAGTACATTAGTTCTCCATAAATGTGGGCTGATATTATTGCTATCATGGATATTACAGATATCTAGATATTCAGTTTAAATTGGGGAGGTAGAAGAAGGAACCATGTTTCACATTATAAAGAACTTTTAAAATCATAACCAGGATCAGGTTTTTAGCCTACTAATTAAGAAACTCACATTGCATGGCAGAGTACTGGGTTTGATTCCTGCTTCTGGCACCTGCTCCAACTTCCTGCTAATGTAGACCCTGGAAGGCAACAGTGATGGCTCAAGTGGTTGGGTTCCTGCCATCCACCTGGGAGATCTGGATTGAGTTCCTGCCTCCTGATTTTAGCCCTGGCCAGGGAGCCAGCCAGACATTACAGGCATTTGGTAAGTGAACCAGCAGAAGAGAATGCTCTCTCTCGCTCTCCCTTTCTCTCTCTTTCTCTCTCTCTCTCTCTCTCTCTCTCTCTCTCTCTCTCTTCTTTCACACACACACACAAACACACACACACACCAAAATAAAAAATAAATCATTATCACAAAACATGTATTAGGATTTATACATTTCAAGTGTAGGCCTTAACGGCATGAAAGGTAACATGTAGCAGAGCAACTTAGAACGAACGTCTTAGAAGCCTCTGCCAACTAGAAATCAATCATGTACCCATTCAGATTTCAAACTCCCAAAATCAGTTTATACACAGTTTTTCCAGAACACACTAACAGTATAAATCAAAGCACATCTGTATTCTTCAATGCCAAATGCCACCTGATCAGCAAACACAGGCAGAGCCCCTTGCCATTGCCCTGCCCCATTTATGCCACATAATCACCACAGCCTCTCACTAACAGCTGCAGTCTTGGAAGCAACAACAGCATCTTGCTGTACCCAGGATCATCACATTAGTGGATAGCCAATCTACTTGGCCCCCAAAAAAGGATTCCACAAATGGAGGTGCTTGGTTAAGATAACTGTCAAGGAATAAATTCTGTACTACAAATAAAGCCAAAATGTAAAGGAAAACATTGAATAATGTTGAGTAAGCCTGCTTTTAAATCAGTTGTTTATGCATTTACTTCAGCTTCTTTTCTGACTTGTCACTGGGGAAAATTTTTGCTTTTGTTATTTATCATCGACAGTGTTGTTCTGGGCTTTCTGCTTCAAATTAAAACCATCAGGGTGAGGTTCTGCCATGACCTCTGGCCAAACTGACTTGCCAAGCATGTAGCAGCCTTCCTTTTCCCCCAGCGACCTCCCAGCCTTTCTTAGTATTTTGAAGCATGCTGAAGAAAGGAAATGATGCTGGGTGTCTCCACATACTCAGACATGGCCCTACTTTCCCACAATGACACAAGATAAACAAATAAATGATAAATGTCACTCTTAAGATTTAAAGAATTAAAAGAATATGGTTGATTATGGCTTTATTACATTTCATGTTCCTGTCACAATCTTTTCAGGTTGAAAGTGAAAGCTATAGGCATAAGGTATTGCTTAAGACAGTTTGTGTAGTAAATGGACTCATTTGTAATAACAGCTCTTCCATGTCCAGCTATTTAGAAAGTATTCAAGTAAGACAATTGCTAAATTCTCTTAAATTTTTTTATCGTAACCAATTCTCCAAAATCTGAATGTTCCTTCTTAGAAAGATAGAATAAATAGATTATGCTTTCCAATTGAGAAATCACATTTCATTTCCTGGTGGTAATTGTCAATAGGATATTTATTTAAAATATTTTAACCACATCAGATTTAATCTAAAAAGCTACTCAATTTAAGAGTTCAAAGAGTATGTAAGCTTAAATCAAGTCCATCTACAGGTGGGCACTTTTTGTTTTGTTAAAGATAAATATCTTTTTTGCTATTTTAAGAATCTCCTTGGCTAAAGATTTTGAATGCACTAAGAAAATCCATATACCTCAGACACTTGGCTAACCAAGAAAGTCAGGGTAAGGTTACAAGAGGTCTTTCTCCAACTCATCAGCCTGAGAACATACATATACTTAAGTAATAAAGGAAACAATGTTGAATATAAGTAATCTGTACATTCACTACCATCACAGTGCAAAGATTCAAGATATCCCCCAGTGCACTTCACACTGTCATCACTGGCTTCAGTTAAAGGGATGCATATGTGTGAGGTGGGGGTGCAGGGAGATGAGTTCCCCAGAATGTTGTGTAAATATGCCTTCCTTACAAGAACATATTTTCTAAGTCTGTCTAAACTTGTTTCCCCTTCTGCATCCCCTGAATTTGTTTGAGGTACTATCAACCTTCTCGGCCACAGAAATTTATGAAACAGAAGTCATTTTTTACTTCTTCTCCTTATTCCATCACTGTATATGCTAGGTTGCCAGGTCTTCTTGATTCTAGTTTTAATAGTAACCTCTCATGAGTCACCATCTCTCTAACTCCTTGCTAGAGCCTCAGAACCTATGCCTGCTCTGCTGTGATAGCTAGCCTTCCAACGGCAGAGCAGTTAGCTTTTAGCTTCTCCTTATCCCAGCATATCCTAAATATTCCTGCCAGATTAATTTTCCTAATGAACAACTCAGATTTTTCATTTCCTTGCTCAAATGCCTTGTAATCTACAAAATAAAGTCTAGATTCTCTGGGCCAGCATTTAAAACCAGGATGTGGCCACAATCTGTGCTTCCACCTGATTCTCCTCTACTTTCTCACAGCTATTCTTTCCTTTGTTTTAACTTGGATTCTCCTCCCCCTAAATTCATGCTTTCCTGCCTCAGCAATGGCCTTTCCTTCCTTCTCTGCCTTTGTAGGTCTTCTACTTCCTTTAAGGCTCAAGGTCTAGCTCAATGCCACATCCTCCACAAAGCCTTCTCATCTCTCATCTGGAAGCAATTGCTTCCCCTCTGAAGTACTCTGAAAGTCATGTAAATGCCTCTTTCTCAACTTTCTTCTATTTCTTATTTCCCCTACTATCATTTCCTAAGAAGATCCAACTCTTATTTGCTTTTGAATCCTCCAATTGAATAGCATAGTAATATCTGCATAGTGGTTAACTAAATAAATAACAGTTGAAGAAATAAATATGTGTATACCCAATATACAAGAGGCAACATTGAGCCAGTTTTATATAATAAAAGACCTGCTCTAACCTATAGTGAAATACTAGACGTGATACTGTAGCTAGACAGCAGAAAAAAAGAGTATTGAGGGGCTGGCACTGTGGCACAGTGGGTTAACGCCTTAGCCTGAAGCACTGACATCCCATATGGGCACCAGTTCGAGTCCCAGCTGCTCCACTTCCGATCCAGCTCTCTGCTATGGCATGAGAAAGCAGTAGATGATGGCCTAAGTCCTTGGGCTCCTGTACCCAAGTGGGAGACCCGCAAGAAGTTCCTGGCTCCTGGCTTCAGATCCGCACAACTGGCCACAGTTGTGGCCAACTGGAGAGTGGACGTTGCGGCCAACTGGGGAGTGAACTATCGGATGGAAGACCTCTCTCTCTCTCTGCCTCTCCTTCTCTCTCTGTCTAACTCTGACTTTCAAATAAATATATAATTTTTTTTAAAAAAGAACGTTGAAAAGAAATATATGTATATACATCTAGGTAACAACATGAGAGAATATTTTCTATAACGTATCTCCTCAAAGTATTTGCTCCTTTTTAAAGGTTAAACTTGAATGTGTGTATTTGCTTTCTTTTGATAGGTTTTCTCTTAATAAAGTTCTGATGGTAATTTCAAGAACCTGCTTTTATCTGAAAAGCAGGACTGTACCCTATGTATAAGACTAGGTTCTAGTCGGCGCCGTGGCTCACTAGGCTAATCCTCCGCCTTACGGTGCCGGCACACCGGGTTCTAGTCCCGGTCAGGGCACCGGATTCTGTCCCGGTTGCCCCTCTTCCAGGCCAGCTCTCTGCTGTGGCCAGGGAGTGCAGTGGAGGATGGCCCAAGTGCTTGGGCCCTGCACCCCATGGGAGACCAGGAGAAGCACCTGGCTCCTGCCTTCGGATCTGCGCGGTGCGCCAGCCGTGGCGGCCATCGGAGGGTGAACCAACGGCAAAGGAAGACCTTTCTCTCTGTCTCTCTCTCTCACTGTCCACTCTGCCTGTCAAAAAAAAAAAAAAAAAAAAAAAGACTAGGTTCTAAAGATGCATTATAAATAGAAATATTTTACCAAAATTACAATTGCACATTCAGTTGTAAGTTGTGTTGCATTAAAAAGAGTACAAACAAAACTATAAAGAAATGTTGGTCCCACAATCAAACTTAAACTGTTTCTTTGGAAACTTCTCATCTGAGTGGATGTGAGCTTTCACCAAAAATATCCACGTATCTATTTACATCCCATTTTAGTGTGGTTCTAAATTGGGCTGGTTTCAAGCTGGTTCCAATTTATTCTAACCAATATATTCTATTGCACAGTTTTGAATGGGCAAATATAGCTAATTCTTTCATTTCTGCTTTACCTTTTTTTTTTTTTTAGACAGGCAGAGTGGACAGTGAGAGAGAGAGAAAGGTCTTCTTTTCCATTGGTTCACCCTCTAATGGCCGCTGCGGCCAGCGCACCGCGCTGATCCGAAGCCAGGAGCCAGGTGCTTCCTCCTGGTCTCCCATGCGGGTGCAGGGCCCAAGGACCTGGGCCATCCTCCACTGCACTCCCGGGCCACAGCAGAGAGCTGGACAGGAAGAGGAGCGACCGGGACAGAATCTGGCACCCCGACCGGGACTAGAACCCGGTGTGCTGGTGCCGAAGGCGGAGGATTAGCCTAGTGAGCCGCAGTGCCGGCCTATGCTTTACTTTTTTCTAAAAAAAAAAAAAATTAGCTAATTTGAAAGAGTTACAGAGAGAGGAGGAGACAGAAAGAGACAGAGATGTTCCATCCACTGGTTCACTCCCCAGGTGGCTTCAACAACCAGTGCTGGGCCAGGCTAAAACCAGGAGCCAGCCAGGAACTTCTTCT